GACGTCAATGGATTTTTTAAATTAATCTTTTATCCTCGTAGATCCAGAAACTGACATGGATATCCGGGGTGTATGTAGTCATGTGTGTGACGTTCAAATTAGTCTACTGAACTATGATCACCCACACACACACACACACACACACACACACACACACACACACACACACACACACACACACACACCCCACACACCCCACCACCCCAACACACACACCACTCTAAATAATAACAATACCCTCTGGCTAAATCTGAGTAAGAAATAGTAAACACATTACACTTACACTCGTCAGGTGAAGCAATGTTTATCCCCGTCCTAGACAGTCGCCAGGTAAAAGCGACAGATAACTCCACTAAAAACCTCCACAGGTGAGTCTTGGCTGCCTACAGGAGTGAAAATATTAACATGAACCGATGAAAGAAAATGGTGAAGGGATAAATTGGATACTGTGGTCGTGAGAGGCATTTGGGTGAATGAAGAGGAGTAATGTGGCGTTGAAAAGTGGTCATGATTTGTACTTTTGAAAGAATGACAACAGGTTTTGTTTTTTATTCACAAGACTACAATATATATATATTTTTGAAGCTTGAAATGGATCACGTGAAGTTTATGCACCTTAGTTTATTTTATCTTAATGTTAACCACTCCAAACTTTAACCTAACATAACATAATCCAAGCATAACCCAAACGTAATGTAAAGTAACGTAACCTAACCTCCCCAAACGTAACCTAACCTAACCACTCAGGTAGCTTGGGGAGGGGGGGGGGTGTTTTATTAGCTGGTGAAATTAATTAGAGTGCCTGATCTTCATGTGATGCGATTGACAGCATATTATATCAAAGAGTGGTTGCTGGTGCTGAGCCACTCTATGAAAAACAACAATAGAATAACATTTATGCTATATATAATAAGTTATTATATATAGCATAAATGTTATTCTATTGTTATTATTAATAACTGATGAATTTACACGATAAGAGGAAAAAACTCACTATGCCTTGTGTACGTATGAAACAGCTTGTACTGTATATAAATCAGTCTCAAATTCGAAGAGCCGCGAGTCTGTCATCTACACCGTCCAGTACACAGAGTCACAGACACAGATGGAAGAATTTGATATACGAGTGTGGGACCTTAAAAAGTTGTCGTAGCATCATTAAGATATTATTTAAATGTAAAAAAAAAAAAAACCAGTGTGATATATTGTGTGGGGGAAGAAATTGGTGTTGGTGAGTGATTATGGCCGAGGTAATTATCTCGTTCAATTTGCTAACCACAGGAATTTATTTATCATGAATTTATATATATTGGAAAAGAGACCCATGGAACGTCGTTATGCAAAGAGATGTGAAATAATATATAATCTCATTGGAAAGAATCAACATTATATTTGGTGGTCTCAGTACACAGGTAGTTCGGTCTTCTGTAGACTTATTCATTGTAAGAAAATCACCATCATCCCAACTTAGAACTGATCATTAAGACGTCATTAAGGATTCTAGAACCAAATAAAGTTCTCGAAGGCGTAACCAAAGACACCAAAGAGAACAGATGGTAAATCGGATCCACCAAATGCCTCAAGACACAGACAGACACCTCAGTAATAAAAATGAAGGGAAGATTCCTCACCACCAGACCTTGAGTTCCCCAACAACAACGCATATAAAAGCAGGACCAGATCGACTCCTCATCACAGTTCTCCTTCACTGCTCGTAGCGATCTGTCGTTCCTCGTGACTTGGTCTGAACTCTTGCCTTCTTCACGTGACGCCACATAGGAGAGGACACCCGCCTTTATTGTACCGTGTTTACAAGACTTTTTCCAGAATGAAGATTGCAACGTATTTCTTATTAGCCGGTAAGTTATAATACAAGTTGTGTTAGAGATTTATTTCTTCATATACGAGTAGAAAAAAATATATACTGTATATTTAAATAACCACAACGAAACAAAAACAAAAATAAGATTCCAAATGGATTCAGACGACATATTTCGTTATATATTTTACACAGACAAACGCATTCATCTTTGTTTTTCACTTCACCTGAATCACAATAACGTCACCTGGATGTACAGAAAAGAAGTTAAAGTATCGCCAAAAAATTATATATCACATGAGAAGCCACATAGTTTTGACATCACAACATACCATCACTTAAGTACGATTCGCTGGGCCATTGTGGTTCCTTGAATGATGAAGTACACAGACCTGACAACCACCACTTGGACAAAGACGTCAGGCAAAGTGGTGTAATAATCCCACCTCTTTTAGCCACTTATTTGTGTTTACTGTTTACTTACGCCACAACACACTCCGTTCACACACTTTACGCAATTCGCATCACACTCAGTTCTCACACTTTACGCAATAATTCTGTCTCAGTATTTTTTTCGAAAAGTAAGTTCAGTATTGTTTTATTTGCAACTTAATTATGGCTATTTTGTATATGATGCCGTAGTGTAGTGGAGATAAAATTAAGATGGGGATATAATTTATGTTAGAGGTTTTAACATTATATAACGAGAGATGAATGGCAGTGTGTATTCAGGGGTTTGCAATGTTGTTAGGATAGTCCATTTAACACACACACACACACACACAACCTAATCTAACCTAACCACAACCTAACCTAAATCTAACCTAACCAAATAATATGATGATTTATTCTCTTCTCAACAGGTTTACTTGGGACATGCTTAACGGATAAACTCAACCATTTAAGTTCAACAAACAGTATTCATGGCAACGGTAATGGAGGTAACGGCAATGGCAACGGTGGGAATGGCAACGGAGGACTAAGTTATTCCCCTCCAACAAATGGCCACAACAGTAATGGTGGCAACGGAAGTAATGGCAACGGAGGAAATGGCAATGGTTTGAGCGGCTACCTGCCACCAACTTACGGATTCAATAGTAACGGTGGTAACGGAAACGGTAATGGCAGCAATGGCAACGGTAATGGCGGCCATTCTAATGGAAACGGCAGTGATAACGGTACAAATGGCAATGGAGGACAAAATTACTCTCTTCCAACAAACGGTCACAACAGTTATGGTGGCAACGGAAACGGAAATAATGGAAGCAATAGCAACGGTAATGACGGCTATTCTAATGGAAACGGCAGTAGTAACGGTACAAATGGTAACGGAGATAATGGTAATGGTTTAAGCGGCTACCTGCCACCAACTTATGGTTTCACTAGTAACGGTGGCAACGGAAACGGCAAGGGTAATGGCAGCAACGGGAATGGAAATGGCGGCAATGGCAACGGCAATGGACTCTATTCCAATGGTGGCAATGGAAATGGTAACGGCAATGGAAATGGTGGAAATGGCAACGGAAATGGTAACGGCAATGGGAATGGTGGAAATGGCAACGGTAATGGACGCTATTCCAAAGGTGGCAATGGAAATGGCAACGGAAATGGTAACGGCAATGGGAATGGTGGAAATGGCAACGGAAATGGTCACGGCAATGGGAATGGTGGAAATGGCAACGGTAATGGACGCTATTCCAAAGGTGGCAATGGAAATGGCAACGGAAATGGTAACGGCAATGGAAATGGTGGAAATGGCAACGGTAATGGGCGCTATTCCAAAGGTGGCAATGGAAATGGCAACGGAAATGGTAACGGCAACGGTAATGGTGGAAATGGCAACGGAAATGGTCACGGCAACGGTAATGGTGGAAATGGTCACGGTAATGGAAATGGTGGAAATGGCAACGGTAATGGACGCTATTCCAATGGTGGCAATGGAAATGCAACGGAAATGGTAACGGCAATGGAAAATGGTGGAAATGGCAGCGGCAATGGACGCCTATTCAATAAGGCAGCAATGGAAATGGCGGCGGAAATGGTAACGGCAATGGGAATGGTGGAAATGGCGGCAATGGACGCTATTCAGCGGTGGCAATGGGATAACGGCGGAAATGGTAACGGCAGTAGAGATGGTGGAAATGGCGGCGGCAATGGACTATTCAATGGTGGCAATGGAAATGGCGGCGGAAATGGTAACGGCAATAGAATGATTGAGTAGCAGCGGTAATGGACGCTATTCAATGGTGGCAATGGAAATAGCAGCGGAAATGGTCACGGCAATGGGAATGGTGGAAATGGCAGCGGAAATGGTCACGGCAATGGGAATGAGTGGAAATGGCGGCGGCAATGGCGCTTCTATTCAAGGTGGCAATGGAAATGGCAGCGGAAATGGTCGGCAATGAGATAATTGAGTGGCAACGGAAATGGTCACGGCAATGGGAATGGTGGAAATGGCAGCGGCAATGGACTATTTCAATGGTAACAATGGAAATGGCAGCGGAAATGGTAACGGCAATGGGAATGGTGGAAATGGCAACGAAATGGACGTTGTTCAATGGTGGCAATGGAAATGGCAACGGAAATGGTAACGGCAATGGAAATGGTGGAAATGGCAGCGAAATGGTCACGGCAATGGGAATGGTGGAAATGGCAACGGTAATGGGCGCTGTTCCAAAAGGCAATAAAATGGCAGCAAAATGGTAACGGCAATGGAAATGGTGGAAATGGCAACGGTAATGGACGCTATTCCAATGGTGGCAATGGAAATGGCAACGGAAATGGTCACGGCGGAAATGGCAACGGCAATGGAAATGGTGGAAATGGCAACGGCAATGGACGCTATTCCAATGGTGGAAATGGCAATGGGAATGGTGGAAATGGCAGCGGCAATGGAAATGGCAACGGCAACGGTAATGGGAAGGGTGGCAATGGAAATGGCAACGGAAATGGAAGCTACTCCAATGGAGGTAATGGCCAAAATAGCAACGGTAACGGGTCCAACGGTAACGGGTCCAACGGTAACGGGTCCAACGGTAACGGGTCCAACGGGTCCAGCGGATACAGCTACCCGGTGCCAGACACACCCTCCGGCCTCTACGATACGCCCTCCCACTAGGCTCTCCTCACCTCACCTGTGTATACGCCAGAGCTGCTCTCTCTATATGTATAAACTAACAATATATCCCGAAATGTATTAAAGGCTTTCATGTTTCTCAAGTCTACCAGTCATGTCTGATGCGACGACGGGTAATATTCAAATTATCTCTACATGAATTTGTAACTAAACAATAATTATCAAATTATCACTCCATGAATTCCTTTAATATATTTTGTATTAGTCAATGAAGCAGCAACGCGGTAATGTATAGACAATATATCTGTAGATTTTTGAAGTCTTTCGTGGTGTGGAGTCTTCAGTATTTGTTTAATTTATTCTGACCTGTGACAAAAAATAATCAGGTTTCAATAATATTTACATGTGCAGTAAGTTATATTTCTTGAATACTTTCATGCCATTTATTTACTGTTTAGAGGTGCCATGAAATTATAATAAACATTTCTCACTAATACTTATTTTATATCCGTTAAACCTGTGTCATTTAGTACCCATAAATTTAATACATTCTCAGAAAATTGCGATCGTATCTGGAATCACATTAATTCATCTAAAAGAACAATAATAGAAACTCTTATATAACCATCGGGAGGGAGCAATCATTAATAAACTATGTTTCATTAATGTTTCTGTAACCTTAAGTACAGTATGAAATAGCTTACATGATCGACATCCTTAATGAACTGAAATCACGTACTGAAATGTGTAGTGCAGTGTACAGAAGTCACGGGTCAGGCTCACTTATGACGAATTTGGGTTTGAATGTGAAAGACTCAGACTTGGACTTGGCCTTTTAACATAATAGAGTAGATAAAATAACCACCACAGTCCAGTTGAAATTTACCCCAAGCCGATGTCCCCAAGGTCTCCACGAACTCCTTCCTGAGGACCCCTTCCACTTTATCTCTAAAATCTTTTTTCTCCTCCCGTGTGGTCTGCCAGCCTGTCCTCTTCTCTCTCCTTTTCTTCTTTTGCATCTTAATAGTTTTCCTCTTCTTCGTTTCCAACATCTACATCCTCCTCCTCCAGTCACACAGGACACCAAACTGCTTAAAGAACCTCTACAGTTGAGCCTAAGGTCCATATTGGCCCAATTTACTTTAGTGTCTCACTTGGTGACACTGTGGAAGCCTTGGCATAGCAGAAGACTGTTTATCGGCATCAATGACTTCACACTTTGCTTTTCTCCAGCCATTATAGTCTGCCTGTATAAGTTAAAGTACCTTGTATTGAGCTTTGCTATACAGTCATTTACCGCCAGAAAAATATAAGTTTATCCTAAACCTTCTTCTTGAAGGACCGTTTTCTGTTATAAATTCTCAAAGAAAATGAAGATAAATTAGTGGGTCTTAGTTATTTTTATATATTGCAGTAACACCTATTAATTTTATTTCTACTTTTATCCCCTTCGTCACTGATAGGCTCGTTAGCCGCTTGGGTTTAAAAAGTAGCGAACTTTGATTCCAAAGACAGAATATATTTCTCAGTCCTTGCTGTACACCATCTGTACGTCAACGGCTCCCCGCAGGCAAACTGAAGAGTAGGATACGCTTCTTTCCTACCTGATGTGTACATGGGAACGGGGAGGGGAGGGGTGCGCTTAGGGTGGTGCTGCACCCCAATATTATGGGTATAAGGTGCCATACATTATACCACAGAGTATCTAGGACACTAGAATTAATATTCAGCACTTCCTGGTAAGATTTGATTCCCGCGATAATGGGTGTGAACCCGCCAGCAAGGTCGGGCAATATCTATGGACAATTGCATTAATTCTTGCTTTTCACCACTGCGGTCCTGAGTTCAAATCCCTGGGTCGAATGTGAGAAGGGGTGTGTTATTCAGTAAGACCTTCCCAAACATCACAGGTTTTCTCCGGGCACACCGGTCTCCTCCCGTACCAACACTTAATGAAGGTCGTAAAAAAATAAAGGCCGACCACCCAAACGGCTAGTGAGGTGATGTTGAGTGGTGGCAACTGGAAATTAGAAATAAATAAATAAAATAATGCATGACCATCAATCTGCCCCTCAGCCTCTGTCCTCCAAGACCTGACACGTCTCTTGGCTTTATGTCGTTAGAACTTTGTTGTTATACTTTTCCTGTGGATTCCTTATAATGTTCGTTATGATGTTGACTCTTCCTAAGCCTGCCTGTGATCATGGCCTCTCTGATGTTCGACTTACAGCCTCCCTCCTCTGCTGAGGAAATAAAATACTTCGACTCGCTCACCTCCCTACAACACATCACAGAGACGAACAAAGATCTGATAGTTTGTCCATCCAACACTACAATCATTATATTTCTTCCCCATATAATTAAATGTACATGAATAAAATACCTACTTTATAGATAGCTTCTTATATATTATTTCGTGGGTTTTTTCAAGTACATTTCCTGGTGAATTTCATTTTAGTATTGTTTTTTTTAATTTAATTCGCAGTGTATTATAAGTTGTGTTATCATATCAGGAAAAGGTGTTGAGGCAGAGCAACAACGATGACAACTACCTGCGTCACAAGTCCTTAGAGAGAGAGAGAGAGAGAGAGAGAGAGAGAGAGAGAGAGAGAGAGAGAGAATTCCCGAAATCTTTTATATAAAAGCCAGATATTTGCAACACACTTATTATAAAAGCTTAAAAGCCTAATATCTAAATCATAGAAATGTACCTAACGACAACTATTCTGTTAATGTGTTTAGGGATTAATTATGGTTACAAAAACTTTAGCTCAATAGTTTATTGCCAAATCGTACAGAAAAAAAGTGATTATATTCAAAACTTACGATCCATTAAAACAGCCTGACTGACATGTGACTTAAGTGGGAAAATGTACAAATTATACCAGGAGACGATTTTGTGGGTGAGGTTGTGGGCGTCACAAGAGGGGTGAGGCGGCTGGACGGGGAAGGACTCGGAGTCACACTGCTGTTTGATACTCCACACCTGTGCCAGCAGGAGCAATTGGTGCAACATTAGCATCTGCTGGTGCAGCTGCAGGATCTGCTGGTGTAACTGAAGGATCTACTGGTGCAGCTGCAGGATTTACTGGTGTAGCTGCTGGATTTACTGGTGTAGCTGCAGGATTTACTGGCGCAGCTGCAGGATCTACTGGTGTAGCTGCAGGATCTACTGGCGCAGCTGCAGGATCTACTGGCGCAGCTGCAGGATCTACTGGCGCAGCTGCAGGATTTACTGGTGTAGCTGCAGGATCTACTGGTGCAGCTGCAGGATCTACTGGTGCAGCTGCAGGATCTACTGGTGCAGCTGGAGGATTTACTGGCGCAGCTGCAGGATTTACTGGTGTAGCTGCAGGATCTACTGGTGCAGCTGCAGGATCTACTGGTGCAGCTGCAGGATCTACTGGTGCAACTGCAGGATTTACTGGTGCAGCTGCAGGATTTACTGGCGCAGCTGCAGGATTTACTGGTGTAGCTGCAGGATCTACTGGTGCAGCTGCAGGATCTACTGGTGCAGCTGCAGGATTTACCTGGCAGCCGCAGGATCTACTTGCGCAGCCGTGATTCACCTCCTGGTGCAGCCGTAGGATTCACTTGCGCAGCGCCGCAGGATTTGGTTTCTGGCGCAGCTGCAGGGATCATTTTGCGTAGCTGCAGGATTCAATTTGCGCAGCCGCAGGATCTACTTGCAGCCGCAGGATGTTTACTCTGCGCAGCTGCAGGATTTACTGGTGCAGCCGCAGGATTCACTTTGCGGCCGGGCAGGATTCACCGGTGCAGCCGCAGATTTACTGGTGCAGCTGCAGATCCACTGGTGCAACATTAGGGGATTTCCCTGGCAGGGCGGATTTCTTGGGCAGGGGCGGATTTCGGTGCTGGGGCGGATTTCTGCAGTGCAGGGGCGGGATTTATTGGCAGAGGCGGCGGATTTCCTGGTGCTGGGCGATTTCTTGGTGCAGGAAGCGGGATTTCTGGCAGCAGGGACGGGATTTCTTGGCGCAGGCGCGGGATTTCTGCAGGGGCGGATTTCTTGGTGCAGGGGCGGGATTTCCTGGTGCTGGGGCGGGATTTCTCTTGGCAGGCGCGACTTCCTGGCAAAGGGATTTCTAGCAGGCGCGGGGATTTCTTGGTGCAGGCGCGGGATTTCTTGGTGCAGGGGCGGGATTTCTTGGTGCAGGGGCGGGATTTCCTGGTGCAGGGGCGGGATTTCTTGGTGCAGGGGCGGGATTTCTTGGTGCAGGGGCGGGATTTCTTGGTGCAGGGGCGGGATTTCTTGGTGCAGGAGCGGGATTTCTTTGTGCAAAGGAGGGATTTCTTGGTGCTGGGGCAGGATTTACTGGTGCAGGGGCAGGATTTCTTGTTGCAGGGGCAGGATATCCTGGTACAGGGGCAGGATATCCTGGTGCAGGGGCAGGAAGTCTTGGTGGAAATGGAACAGCGAAAGGATCATTTGGTCTTCGATATCCCGGTGCATCGTACGGATTGGTTGGCCTGTTTGAAGGGTCCGCCACTGAGGGACTACCAGAAGCTGTGTCCGAGAAGAACTCAACAAAGATGGTGTCGTCGTTGTCCAGGAATGGTGGTAGAAAAGGTAGTCCCAAAACTCCTGTGCGTCTGTTGGAAGGACTGTTCGGTCTGGTGGGCCCAAACGGTCCGAATGGCATGAAGGAAGGGAATGGCGAACCATTTCCTACGCTGACACCAAAACCTACATTTTGTGGTCGTTGAGAGCACTGACACTTGCAGCATCTGTCCCCGGGGCTGAGAAACAGGCAGAGGTTCTTACATCTGGGCACCTTAGGGCAGATATGTGCGTCGTCGCCACAGTAACACTCACGACATCCATGGCGACCCACGGCGATACGGCATCCAGGCGGGCATCGTAAGCGTTGCCCATTGCGACACCGGGGCCAGGGACCACCCAGGGCTCCTGGACCAGCGAAGGAGTTCTGATTTGGTTGTGCTGCTCCTACTGAAACCTCCGGCCTCAACGGAAATTCGCTTGGAGGTTCTGGCTCAAATGGGGACATTTCAAAACCAAATGGTGTTGGTGTGCGCTCAAAAGCAGCAACCGGATTTTTAGGGACGAGTGTACAGTTACATAAAAAGCAACCACTGTTGTCGTCCCTGTTGATACACCCACGAAGACATCTAGGTACGGCTGGACAGGTGCCAGGACCATCACAGCGGCACCGGCGACAACCGTCTTCGTCATAATCCATAGTACATCCATCATGGCAGGTGACGGGAGGGCAGCTGACCTTCGGGGTGCTGCACACACATCCTGGACACCCGTTGTCATCCAAGATTGTCTGACAGTCGGAGGAGCATGACTGGAGGGCAGGACACACCACAGGGTCAGGCTGGGGACAGTCGCAGCCACCACAGCCGTCGGGTCCTGGTCCAACAGTACAGCCTGGCGCACACTCCAGTGTCACATTGGCGGGACAGTCTGCCAGGGCCACCCCATCACAGATACACACTGGGCAGGAACCATCTGAGCGAGGCACAGAGACACACGACTCCTGACACACACGACAACCTGTAACAGTGGTGTTGGATTAGTGATGATAACATAAACGACTTTCAACATTAAAACTGAAACGAAATGATCTTGAAAACTCAAAGTGACATTTGACAGAGTGTGAAGACATTAGATTAACTGTAACCCAAATAGACAAATTAACGATTACATCAGCTCCTGCTAAAGCATTAATTACAGTAACAAGAACAAAAAGTATTTAAGAGAACAGGCTACTAACTGCAACAGCCTTGATGACTGTATAAATAGAAAGAGAACCTGTAATAAAAGCAACATTGGAAAAGCCACTGACGCCCACATACCTCGACGTCTAAAACAGCATAACAACACAACTCGCAACAAGAAAAGTAATGACAATAACGACAAAAGGTAAAAATAAAAGATAATAAAAGCTGTGATAATTTTCCCATCAACGAAAAAAAAAATCAAAATTGTTTACAAAAGTCATTATTATAACAAAAACAACAATAAAAACAAAAATAACACGAAAATACCCGAAAAAAAAGAGAAACAAAAACTCAAACTGCAACAAAAACACAAACAAAAGCAAAAAGGATTAATTACCCGGGAAGATAATCAATGTAAATTAGAGACGACAGAACGACACACGACCCAACAGATGTATCACGACTCACGAATACCCCAGATGTATTACCTTGATCTCTGGCTCCAAGAAGGTGTAAACCCTCTTAAGCTCCTGTACTCTGCTTCATAAGACTGAGTTTACACGCTATAGTTTACCTTGAGATGGGTCGGTTGTGTGGAGAACTGAACTTAGCGCCAACAGAAACAAAAGATGAACGCCATAGGACAGAGGATAGAAAAAGAGAGTATGATGGATAGATGGCAAGGTAAGAGAGAGGTGAAAGAATGCGAAGGTAAAGAGAGGGGAAAAAACTAGCGGAATTAGATAGATGTGCACAGATAAACGCGTGTACAAACAGAACGATAAACGAATAGACATATAAACAGAAATACGGATAGAGAGATGAGACAAACAACAAAAAAGTAAACAAACTAAAAGATGCAAAACAGGGTGGTGCATTAAGTCCCTTTACCGACTGCAAGTATCTAGGTAAAACGATGTTATGCACAAAAAATTTCGTGCACATACACTTGTTCGTTTCGTACACACACACACACGTCACTCTATACACAAGACGTTTCGTACACAGAGCCATAAGTCGTGCTGTACAGTATATACAATCATGGTTAATTAACTCACATGATAACAATAATTATCCAACCCACACTAATTCAAGGTCGACGCGGCAACAAAACACAGAATATTCTAGTTTTTTAAAATAAGTCAAGACATCACTAAAAATAACGCTGTCTGGTCGGAGTTTTATCTCAATATCTACTTCACTTTTCTCATGTTAAGAAATGTAAGCAAATTTTTTTACGGTTGAATAATATTTAACGCGACATAGCTCCCTCCCCCTCCCGGCAACCCCTCAAGATGACGGAAGTGTAATCAAGCCCACCAAGAGCGGCTGCGAGACGTCAAAGATTACTGGAACCGCGACTTTAAAAATAACATAAGTAATTAATGAATGAACACTGATAGATAAAAATGAGATAATTATATTAGATAGAGACGAGTAAGATAACAAAACATGAGTAACAGCAGGATGAGATGAGAGAGTAGCACCTACATTAAAGAGATGTTATTTTATCAGCGCTATCAATGTCAACAACAAGGATAACATTACAAACACGGTGACATCATTAACAATAACATCATTAAACTCTTATTAATGTTAACACGGGAACACGAATACTGATAATGTAATAATAATACAAGTCGATCAAAGTAAAACCACGAACTCACGTCACCACATGAGCCAGAAGAAGATAATAATCTGTCTAGCCACTAAACAACTTCCAGCTAACACAGTGACTAACGAAGGACTGAACACCTGGCTTTGTTACTAACTACACCTGAGAGAATCACTTGGTATCGAGAACTAACCTGTGTAGACGTTAATTACTGTATCAAACATCCTGGCAGGTAATTATATAGAAGTTTGAGCGTTACCTGTAGGAGTCAACCTGATGATCGCCTCATATTAACAACCTGTAGCTTCTATCTTACAGCAATGGTCTTTAGTTACAAGTATTATTTAGTCTCACCTGTGTAGGTTTGTGCTGAAGTTAGGGCCCCTAGCATGAGCACCAGCACCGCCACCACTACCACCATGTTGACAGCTGAGTCCTGACAAGTGTTGGGGGGATCAGGTTTGGACTAAGACAACCACCAGGCCGTGCCGCTCTCACTTACCTACTCCCTGCCTGTGCTGCCGCCTCTGTTTTTATAACCTTGGATCCCTTGCTTCGCCGTGTGTGTGTTTGGGGGGGGGGGATGTAGCAATTTTTGTTTCCTTTTCAGTTTTCGCCATCACTTATATGTTTGTTATAGAAGATATTTTTGGCTTTCAATTTAGGGAAATTACTGTGTGTGTGTGTGTGTGTGTGTGTGTGGCGAAATATATGCCTTCATGTGCCTGTATGTATGGGTACACGTGCACAGGTATGTTATATCTACTGTACTCGTAAATGCAGGATGTTCTTGTATGAGCGTCCTTGTGTCTATTGACTGATGTAATTGGCGTATCTATCAACCAGATTTACTTAGATTTATTTTTGCAGCTCCCTTCGCGTAACTCCTTTCAGCAAAAGAATTCACCATAGCAAATGATATTTCATAGTCTCGAATACGAAAATGAATATATTGTCTATGGTATAAAAATACACAGAGAACACAGTCTATACTTCCATGTAATATTTTAGATGAGTATCTTGGTACATAAACATCATAAAGTTTGAAGGTTAGTGTCGTGTGTACTCATGGCTGGTGACGTTGGTTGTGGTGAGAGGCGGCACCCGGACAAGGCTCCTCACGACACACCTCCCACAGTCACGGAAAACCATGATGAGGCGATAAGGTAGTTTTTCCCTTAAAAATTGCTTATCAGACTCTGGTATAGCATGAAGGAGCAGTGTTACGCGTCCTGATGCCGTCATGACGTCAGGGTGGTGAGCGAACTTTTCCAGGGATTCTGTTGACACAATGAGTTGCGTGTGGTCGTCGCTGGCTAGCCACTCCCTCACCTGCACCTCCCTCTCTCACGCTGCTCATCTCTCTCCCCGCCTGTGTAGCAGGATGTACCTCCCTTACCCCTCACCCCCATCCTATTCCTCCTCACTACCTCGTCCCTTCCCCGAGGCTGCAGTAGGACAAGCCTAGACTCTTCCCCCTTCACCCACCCCACCCCCGCCTCTCGGAGGACCTACACCCACCCAAATAACAAAGCCTCTTCCCACTCCCTCCCCTCCACATCTTATCTCAAGACTACTGCAGAGTTTTTTCGTTGCACTTCAAACTAATATGATCTAAAGAATAGCAGAGATACGCTAGTAATGATCTCTCCCACCACCCTTCCTCCCCCCTGCAGGTGTCAAGTTCTCCATCACAATATGCACCCCCACCCACGTCCCCACCTCCACCCTACCGTCACCTCCACACACTCCACTCGACCCCTCCCAGGTCATTTCAAGGACACCACGAAACGCTGCAATATTTTCAATGAGTAAGTCATGCGCTGCCAGTGTTTTAAGGAAATAGCGGAGCCAGAAGATTAGATTACGTCGTACAGGGAGTGTCTAGGACCCTAGGTCCTTGTGTAGTTCCGCATGTAAATATCAAATAAATATAAATATATATATATATATATATATATATATATATATATATATATATATATATATATATATATATATATATATATATATATATCATGTAGATCCACAATGGAAACGTGGATAAGATAAATCTTGATAAAATCACACAGGGAAAAGGGAAACGATGGAGCACCTTAGCTTTCGTCTTTATTCAAGACATCTTCAGAAGCAACTGAATTACAAAGACTGAGAGAGGCTTATGTACACAGGGTGACCTTACAATTTTTAGACAAGCTTAGTTATCTTGGCCCTAGTATTAACTTCAAAACAGAAAGAGAGATAAATGGATCCCTTCCATTTCTTGATATGCTTATCATGAGAAATCGACATAACTATAAATTGAAGGTGCACGAAAGCCTACACAGGTAGATAGCTTCATACATTTTTTATCGAGTCACCATGAGTCTACCAAAATGTCAGTTTTTTCTGCTATGTTTTTGAGATGTTTACGTATTTGTGACCCTGAATTTATTGAAGAAGAACTGCAACACATTCAGTCCATTGAACAAAAACTTGGGCACCCTTCATTGTTTGTTGATCCTTGTTTTAAAAGGGCTAAAAAATCCTTTTATTCTACTCAAACTCGGCAAGTTCCTACATTTAAGAATATTTTGACTCTACCTTATCGCAATGAATTTATCCCGTTAGTTCAGTCCCTAGAATTATTAAACATTGATGTTGTTTTTAAGTATGACTCAACTATTACTAATATATTAATTAAGAATAGCCCAACCTTGAATGTAAATTGAAGTGTTTACTATATTCCATGTAGCAATTGTAATGGAAATTATGTAGGTCAGACTGGGGAAGCATTGCAACTCAGAATTAAACAGCACAAGTACAATATTAGAACAGCATCTGAAAGCAGTGCACTGTTCGTTCATATAAGGAACAATTATCATCCCATAGATTGGGAAAACAGTTTAGAAGTGTATAAATCATCATGTGTCACAGAAAGACTTCTGGTTGAACCAAGTTTGATTAGAGAAATGTATTCTTTAAACCTTAGTGATGGTCAGTACAAAACTGATAATATGTTACACAAATTTATTTGTCAGTGGCCCAAGGTTAAAAATGCTCTGAAAGCATGTAAGGTAGATGTATGATAGATGATCAGTGGGTCTCATATTTTTTACTTGACGTGACATGACGAGTTATGTCGCCCGTTCTTATAATCTCTTCTTATGTTTGCTGTGTGGTTGGTGTGTGGATTAGTGGATGTCATGTTTTTTGACCTGACCTCATGTTTTGTAAGGTCACCCTGTGTACATAAGGCTCTCTCAGTCTTTGTAATTCAGTTGCCTCTGAAGATGTCTTGAATAAAGACGAAAGCTAAGGTTCTCCATTGTTTCCCTTTTCCCTGAGTGATTTTATCAAGATTTATCTTATCCACGTTTCCATTGTGCATCTACATGATAAAAAATATATATATATATATATATATATATATACCTGTATATATATATATATATATATATATATATATATATATATATATATATATATATATATATATATATATATATATATATATATATATATATATATATATATATATATGTATATATATATGCGGAGCTACTATAAAGTACAGTGTGTATGTTTTGTATGTTTCATGTGTGTCTCCTTGTTATCTACAGCTACAGCTTTGACGATAGAAAACTTAAATTTACCTACGAGGCCCACCTGCAAATCAGTAGTGTCCCGAATTTGGAATTTGGGGGTTGGCCTCAGTCGTCGGCCCTCACCCCGAAAGGTAGAACACCCATTAAAATAAGTTTAAATTTGTGGGCGGGACCGACTCCCACCTAAAAGTGACAGTGTAGTGGATGTAGGATAAATTAGCAGTGGATGTAGCGAAGTTAAGTGTACCCAACACAACCCAACTTACTTTAGGTAGACTTTAGCTACGTTGTGGTGATGAACGACGTCTTAAATGAACAGACCAAACTTTACCGTATACAAATTAATTGCCATTAAGCTGTAGCGATAAAAACAAACAGCTATCCCGAATAAGCAAAAACGCCAGTTACTTTATAAGGCTTAATTGGTGGTTATTTCTATTTAGCCGTGTGTGTGTGTGTGTGTGTGTGTGTGTGTGTGTGTGTGTGTTTTCAAGTCTTAACATTAATATTACTTCAGACATATTACTGACATTCACATTACCTAGATTCTGGACAACAAGGTGTTAGTCAACTTCACACACACACACATACACACACACGCACACACACAATAATAATAATATATTATTGACTCCTCACAACACATCTCGACTCATTCTTTCAGTTAAAACAAACTAAATTGATATCTACAGTATATTATTTGATACCGTTTTAGAGTTATCGGGGGACTACCTAATATTTGTCTATCTATTAGAGTATAATAAAGTGTTAGACGAGCAGTATAGGTTTAATTTATATTTGATTGACAATTTCTTTAGGTTTATAATTATATTTGTATTAGAATCTATACTTACTGAATATCACATTAGCTTGCTTGAGCGGGAGTGTTAAGTCGGTGTTGGTGTATTATTATTATTATTATTATTAGATAAAGGCATTTCATAAATAGTGCAAGTAGTGTAGTACAGTAGACACCGTGAAAATAGTTAATTAATTATATCAAACTTAGGAAAGTAAAAATTCTATGAAGGGGCAGTGAAAGATTAGGGGAATTAAGTTGTGATCAGTCGGGGTAGATATGTGTGACAAGTAAGGGTGTGTACTTTTATTATCACTACTATAGAAGCCTTCTTTTAACTCTGTTTCAGCTCATTCGTCCATAAAAATGGTATTTTCTTGAGTTAACCACAAAATCGTGTTCTCTTTAGTTAGCCATGATATCGTGTTCTCTTATACAAATACTACAGAAAACTATTGAAGGGGTAACTCACTAAAATAGCTGCTATATTTTTAACAAACACTAAATTATCTATCAAAAATAAGATTATATTCATTATTGTCATATCCTTAATCATATGACATGGTCACGCTCACATTCATTCATATTCCAATCATTTATAAAAAATATATATTTTTGTGAGTTAGGCATGCAAACATTTTCTCCAATTCTTAGACCAGAGAAAATGTTTCATGGCTAACTGATTAAAATAATAAGTTTTATTGATGAATGAACGGAGTATAAATGAGTGTGGATGTTAAGAGAAAATAAGTACTACTGTGACCATGACATTAGTTAAAAATTATTTTGCCGTAAATTGGGGACTGAAAACTGGTTGACTGTTTTTAATTTTATGAATTTGATTTATTTATTATGATAAAACCTGTACAAATGGTCTCGAGAATGGCAAATGCTCCTTAACATTTCGAAATACAAGATCCTACACGCAGGATAAAACAACCCTAAGCATAAATATTCTCTTAATACCACTTTCATTGGATACTGTCGATAAGTGACCATTGGGTAAATAAGGTAATTTACTTAAGTGTTCTCATTTATAAAGAAAAAGTAATTTATTTCTCTCCTTCTACAACAGATATGTCTATAACTCGCCAATATGTGTATAACAAATCAATACATAATATGGGGTTT